AAAGAAAACACTCGTGTACAGTATTTTTAGATCTGCGTGCGTTCGGTGTTAGTCTAATAAAAGCGCTGCCTGTCATTAATCAAAGAACAAAAGAAAATCATTCACTGATCTTGACTGAGTATCTTTAATAACTTTAATTAATAATCTATATTTTATTTATGAAAAGAAAACAATGCAGTGTTTTTAAACTTTTAATTTGTTTCTGTACCTGAAATTTAGTTCAGTTGTATTTAATTTATGCTATTGCTAATTGATTTGTTTGTTCCTATTTTATTACTGACTGTTAACTTGTCTTTAACACTTTAATATTTGAAATTTATATTAGTCTAGTTGTTTTTGCAGTGGTATTTTTGTTAAAAGCATTGATTTTTGCTTATGTTATTCAGCTGCAACAGAATGATTTTTAAAGACACAGAATAAATGTTTGACATCTAAGTGTTTGACTTACTTTTTTTTTTTTATATTGGATTTTTTTTATCTTATTGGTATCGAAACTAGGAATTGATAAGAATCGGAATAAATAAGCAGAATCGGAATCGGAATTGATCAAATTCAAACGATACCCAACCCTACATACATGTTCTTAATATCAAATATAGATCCAACCATATGAGTCCAGTGTCTTTACAGCATTAAATTGTGCTGGTTTAAGTTCTCTTAGGAAATTATATAGGGCCCATTGAAATCCGTTTATTTATTTATTTATTTCCCAAAATTCTGTTTTTTCCATTTAAATTTTTCTGGATTCCTTTTTTTCCGTTTTAATTTTTTAGACTCCATTTTAATGGTTAAATTAAAGTTTATTAATCAAATAGCATGTCTTGAAATCATGAAGCTTATAGAGTTTAACAGCAATTTATTAAAAGCTTAACAAAAGTAAAACATTTTAGTGCCCTATAAAATAATTTATTTTTTTCTAGTAATCAAATGAAGGCATACAACAATAATTAAATTTTTTTTGTAATTTCAATGGAAATTAAACCCTTGGGTTACCTAAATAAACAAATCCATCATTAAGAGGTTTTTAACTAAAAGGCCATAATCCATAATAACGCTTCCTCCAGAGAAAAAGTGTTCTGGTCTGAATCAGGAGAGAAATCTGCACAGATCAAGCAGCGTTTAAACAGCTCTAAACTAATATGTGGCTGGATTTTGATGTGAGAGACAACAGCAGATGCACTTTTTCACTGGAGGAAGCGTTATTATGGATTATGGACTGTTTAGTGACTGTTTAAGGACAGCTTTTCACTTCTCAAGATGTACGATGGCAGAGATCATGATCGTGAGCTGATCAGCGGTGGGTTTGTGTGAGCGTATGTACAGATGCTTTAGTTTGAAACTGATGTGAGGTTTGTCTCTTGCTATCAGGGGGCTCTGAACATCAACGATCGCATGATTCCTCAGCCCAGAGCTCTTCAGCTGTCTGTGGAGAAGCTGAGCAGAGACGCTGCGTTCCTCATGGACTGCGGCACCGTGAGTACACACTCACATGCACACGCACACTAACTCACACACTCTCACTCACACACGCACACTCACACGCACACTCACTCACACACTCTCACTCACACGCACGCACGCACACACACACACACACCCACACACACTCTCTCACACACGCGCACTCACATGCACACTCACGCACACTCACTCACACACGCACTCACACACACACAAGGGCGTGTCTACGTGGTGGCCAGGGGTGGCACCGGCCCCCCCCTGAAATTTGGCTGGCCACCCCAGGTGCCCCCCCTACCAGATGTCTTGCGATAGGCTTGTTTTTAGTAAATTTTTAACTGCATCTGGCAATGGCGGATCCTGGCATGTGTAGGCAGCTGCCTATGGCCGCTTGCTTCTCTTCTTTATACTTAATTTTAGGCAGTTTCTATAGTGTGATCTTAATGTCACTCACGCGCACACACGCATGCACACACACACACACACTCACACGTACATACTCACACACACACATACTCTCACTCACTCACACACACAGACTCACTCACACACACAGACTCACTCACTCACTCACACACACGCACACAGACACTCGCACACGCACACTCACACCACTCTCACACACACACTCTCTCACACACACTCGCTCGCACGCATGCACACACACGCACACTCTCTCACACTCACTCACTCACTCACACACGCACACACACTCACTCACACGCACGCACGTACCCTCACACACACGCACTCTCTCACACACACACACACACATAGAATAAAAACGACAGATCATTTCCATGTGTTTTTGCAACAAAATTACGTTTTATTACATACGGAAAGCACTTACTCTATCTCACCCGCTCTCTCCCTCACAGACGCACACACAGTTTGCACACACGCTAACATACGCGCTAATGTTGTTAACGCTACTCTGTCGATTTTATCAGTATAGTTTAACAACTTAAAAATGACATGACTTCTCACATGCGAAGTAACAACGGCACTGTTCTTGCAGAAAATTAACTTAGTTTCACTATTACTAGAGACATTGCTGTCAAACACTGTTGAGAGACACACAGGCTCTGAGAGATACATCATCTCTCTCTCTCTAATAACTTAGTTATTAGCTGCATTAGTCTGCTATCAACGACTCAAGCCTCCGTTACTAGGTCTAAAGTGACGTTGTGGAATTAGCAACAGAGGCGTTGGATGAGATGCATAATAAATGTGTGGTAACCGTAGTATAAGCAGAATAATTGACTTCGGTCCGTTGAATTATTAGAAAATAATGCACACCCGAGGTGCAACTGTAACTCCACTTCACATCGTGACCGTCGTCACTTATTCCTTACAGAATGATCAGGACATGAGAACAGCTGATGAGCTACACATCTTACTGACTCACTAATGAAGCTTCTGCGAATAAAACAAGCTTTGAGCCTGGACAAAAAAACAAGTTCTAACAAGATGAACATTTAAGGATAATGTGTACAGCACTTATGCAGCTTTTCACAAGCATCATAATTACATGGACATGAACTATGTGTTGTTGTGTGACCGCTTCTCCTCAGGTCATGTATCTGTGGGTGGGAAGAAACTGCAGCCCGGTGTTCCTCACACAAGTGCTGGGAGCGGACAGTTATGCTGACGTTCCTCTCAACATGGTAAACTCAATCACAAACACTGCATTGTTCACTTACCTTACAAAACAATGCCGCTTTTCTACTAACAACTCACTTTGTCCAACAAGTGTTTTTTTATATTTTTGCATATATCTCTATCACTTACGAATGATTGCAAATGTTGCTGTTCATCACTGCTGGACCTCATTAGAAATTATTTCATTAAACCTCATTAAAACATTTGGGGAAGTCGTGGCCTAATGGTTAGAGAGTTGGACTCGTAACCCAAAGGTTGTGGGTTCGAGTCTGGTACAGGCAGGGATTGTAGGTGGGGGGGAGTGAATGTACAGCGCTCTCTCCCACCTTCAATACCACAACAGTGCCCTTGAGCAAGGCACTGAACCCCCAACTGCTCCCCGGGCGCTGCAGCAAAAATGGCTGCCCACTGCTCCGGGTGTGTGTTCATGGTTTGTGTGTGTGCACTTTGGATGGGATAGATGCAGAGCACTAATTCCGAGATGGCTGGCCACTGCTCCGGGTGTGTGTTCACTGCTGTGTGTGTGCACTTAGGATGGGTTAAATGCAGAGCACTAATTCCGAGTATGGGTCACCATACTTGGCCACATGTCACTTCACTTTCACTTTCACTTTTCACTGAAAAATTATTTCTTGGTTTTATTGGTGGTATTTTATGTAAATAAATGCTGTTTAATGTTATCGCCCTTAATGAGGTTGTTTTGTGCCAGATAATATTGCTCTGATGCAGGCCATTTTAATCAAAATGTTGTTTGCCCCTCAATGGCTTCAGTAAATTGAACATGTCAGTAGCTCAGAGTTCAGCTGACTGATTTTTCAGCAGCAGTATGTGCTGCAGGGTTCCTACGAGTTTGTAAAACTATGAAATTTGATTTGAGTACTTTCCAGGTCTGGAAAAGCATGGAAAAAAAGAAAGCGGAGTATGAAAAAAATATTTGCATTTCCAGTCTTTTTCCCCTATTTAGTTTTCTATAATAGAAAATTTAGAATTTAATGAAAATAAATTTATCATACAAGAAGTGTGTTTTCATAGCAGCTGTTTAATGATTCTTTAGCGACTGAATGAATTCAAGGTGCACTTTTTCATTATGCAAAAATGCAGGTTATAGGTGTTTTTCTTCTCACGATGTTCTTAGCACCATATTACAAAGTCTCTAAAGGGATTTGTGCAAATCTCTGTGTGTGCAAGTATCGAACTCGATACCCAGCCCTAGTGTGCACGAGAAACCATTAAACTTAGCAAATAGGATGAAGCTGACGGAGTCACCTATTGCGCCATCAGCCCATTTCATGGTGTGGTTTCTTGGCCGCCACACAGTATGAGTTAAAGTAGACTTAAGGCCTTGAAATAAGACATACTGCCCTAAAGAGAGCCACATTTTGAACACTTTTTTTTTTACAGTACCAGTCTATTTTATAGACCTTTGAACTTGGCAAATAGGACAATGCACAAAGCCTTATTATGCCATCAGCCCATTTCGTGTCATGGTTTCTCCACTGTGTGTTAAAGTGGACATTAGGCCTTGATATTAGAGGAACTACCCTAAGGAAAGCCAGTTTCTGAGCAAATAGATCTCTATTAATTCATGTGCATCCATGCTCTCATTTTCTCCATAGTAAAATGTCTAGCAAAAGTCTGTTTTTTTTTTTAAGGAGCTCTGTATGTTGTCACTTCGAGAAAATCAATGAATAAACCCCTGAGAAAATAAAAATATTTACAGATGACCATACTACAGGTGCATCTCAATAAATTAGAATGTCATGGAAAAGTTCATTTCAGTAATTCAACTCAAATTGTGAAACTCGTGTATTAAATAAATTCAATGCACACAGACTGAAGTAGTTTAAGTCTTTGGTTCTTTTAATTGTGATGATTTTGGC